TGTCTGAGGTCTGATATGATTGGCTGAATGTTATGTTAGTCAGTCTCTGGTAGTACAGAGGCAGTGCCTCCCCCAGGTTGTTCTCTGCTATTACAGTATATTGTGAATGAGGATAAAGTGAATAGATGATGTGGACTAATAATATACATTTTCTTAGGAAAGGGGGGGTAAATACATGTTGGGGTGGTGGGGTTGGCCTAGCAATGCACACGGTGGCAGTTAATCAGTTAGAATTATTAGACTAAGAAATAATGTAAAGATATTACTGAGGAACATATAACGCTGTCCTGATCAGCTGGAGGATGGAGCTGTTTTATTTCATTCCTGAAGCTGAAAAAAATTCAGATTAAACTCTGTAGAAGACTGCACTCAATTAGCAGTAATACTAACTTATCAGCGCTCAGTAGCAGTAATACTAACCAATCAGCACTCAGTTGCTTGGCTCCCCCTAAACCGGCTTTGGTTGGTATGCAGCTGAACCAGCTTAAACCAGCCTAAACCGGTTTAGTCCAGTATAAACCGGCTTAGACCAGCACAGAATTCACTCCAGTCAGTGCTGTTTTTCAGCAGAGCAAACTCACAGCTCAGTTTCAAAATAACTCTGCAGTTCTGTGAATATGCAGACTTTAAGGTGAGTTAAACTGTACCTGGGTTACTGAGTTCTAGAATAATTTAAATATGAAGTCTGACGATAAATAACGTTAAAGAACACTGCTGAGCAGTTAGCTCACTCGCTTTTCTTAGCCTAGCCGCTGTGTAAATCAGTCAGACTGAACAGGACTGTGACGTAGCTACAGCGCTCACATCTGTGATCAACGCTACGTTTCTCTGTGGTCTGTAGTGACCACTGTGACCAAAAATAAGTGTGGACTGTCAGTAAGATCATGAACCGTGTAGTTTTGTCATGTAATCATAAAGTTGTGTGGTTTCAAACTGAAAACTTCCCTTTGTGAGAAGCTTTTGTTTATGCATTTAACAACACTAGGTTAGCATGATGCTAGTGTATGAGATTCACACCATTATGTAGCGTTAAGCTAACAGTTTGTTCACCAGTTTAACTCAAAGGGTTGAAAACCTCTAATGGCAGCTACAGACTGACATTTGGAGCTTCTGACATATTTTACTTTGTATTTTGCTTCTTTTTCTGCTGTAAATGCTTGAACTAAAAGCCTAACTCTGAACTGGAGTCTGTAAGCCTGTTAGCAATCTGCTGAGATGGAGTTTAGACCAGTCATCAGGTTACTCTAAACATGCGGACCCTTTATCCGTTATCTTTTGTGTTTCTATCTGTTCATGTGGGCAAACAGCTTAATGGGAAAAAGCCTCTCCAGAAGCAGTAAACACTCCTGGCTTAATGGTTACTTTTAGAGACCACTAGTTTCCAGTAACGGGAACCTACTGTGCTCTGATAGAGCTAGTCTCGTCACCGTTGCTGCAGCTACAACCCTGCAAGTGGATGAAGACCACTCTCCATCCCTTTATTTGTGCCCCCTGAGCGACGTCTGCCTGTGTCGCCACATGTGAGCCGCCACCAGAGCTGCTAGAGTCACCAGAGCTCCATCTCTGTTGGCTGATCTGCACCTCACCTGCATGAATCAAATCAAATCAAATCAAATCAGATTTATTGTCACATCACAAGAGTACAGGGACACAGGTGAGTGAAAAACTTGAGTGCGAGTTCCACAAATTATGCAGGGAACAGTATTTACACATAGATAAACAAAACTATACTGTTCTCTGCATAATTTGTGGAACTCGCACTCAAGAACTGACCCTCCTGCTGCTGCTGCTGCATAAACTCAAACTATCTAATTAACCTTTGCTCCACCTGTTTTCCCGTTTTGTATTATAATATTTTATACTAACGCTGTTTGCTGTCTGGTGTGGACCAGAGGAGGATGGGTTCCCCTTCTGAGTCTTGGTTTCTTCCTCTTGCTCTTAGGGAGTTTTTCCTTGCCTCTGTTGCCATTGGCGACGCTCATGTTGCCAATGTTGGCTCGGACCCGGATTTTTCTGTAAAGCTGCTTTGTGACAACACCTGCTGTAAAAAGCACTATATAAATAAACTTTGACTTGACTTGACCAATAAAAACAGACAAGATGAAAATATTTGTGGACACTTTAGATGCAGACTTTAGATGTTGTGATTACTAGATGGTAGATCCATATAACCTGCACATCTCTCAAGTTCAAAAAAATTCAAAGTGTGAGTTTTTACCAAGATTAATAAACACGGCTACTGAAACGCCCAAGGCTCCTAAATAATAAACACATTTAAGCTTGAGTTGGCTTCTTATTCGCCAGGCTCTAATTCGAATTTTCTGTCCCACCTTAAATGGTGCAGCAGTTACATGCAGGCGCCTCATACGTAGAACATTTTTTTAAAAAAAAGATGCTGGCGAATAAGAAGCCAACATCATATCACAGAAATCTGTATGCAGTGTAGCTTAATGAATGCATTAATCAGGAAACACCTTAAACTTTGGCTTGGAGATGTTTAGTGACTAGCTATGAAACAGGTCAGCAGAGCTATAATAAGTCTCACTGGCTGATCTACACACTTCTGTACTTCATCTACTACACTAATGAGTGCACTTCTAATGGCACTGCACTGTTTTGCATACTATTTGGTGTGCTAGTGTGCAGTTTTGGATGCAGCAGAAGTAATGCAGCAGGAAATGTCAGTTTAGATGAAATAAAGGCAACACACTCAAATATATTGGTTAATATGGTTTAAAAATTAGTTTTAAACTGTGTTCCCCCTCCACAAAAAAGTTTTATTAGCTTTGCTGGACTAGCTATGGCTTTGTTATATAATTTTTATCCTTCCCTATAAAAACACAAGTCTGAGGGAGGGAGTCAAGTTACTGAGCGACTTTAGAACAAGTTTAAAGCCCCTGAGAACCTACATCAGTGTTTTGTAATTAGCTCAGTTTGTGGACACTTGCCACAGTATGCCTTATGAATACCTTTCCAGTGTCCAATAAATGACATGTAAACTAAGTATTTCTTGTCTTTTGGTGTAAATTGGGTGGTCCTAATATTGAATAAAGCTTATAAAAGCTTTACTCTCACCAATCACAAGGCTTATACAGCCTTAATAAAAAAAAAAAAATAGGCTTTCTCCGTTCTCTTTAGGTCTAGCAACTGAGAAAGTTAACTAGCTAGTGAAAGGTGACCTAGCAAGCCTAACCAAGCTAGCAATTGACCTCATCTGTCACTGTCTACCTTTTGACCTCAGCAGGGGGTCTAAAAGAAAGAATATCTGCATATTTAGTATTTATTTTATGAATTTTCCCCTTTTTCATGCTTTCACACCTTATAAACAAAAACTTTGTGAAGATACTCATGCATTTTGAAAATGAATGAAACGTTCTAGAAATTCTTTAATGTTACTTGTGTTGACAGTATCTGGGTGTTGTGTAAGCAAAAAAGCTAACAGGCTCCTCCAGTAATCAAGGCAGACTTTTAGATCAACTCTTTTCTGATCTGTATATTTATGTTCCACTATACTAATGATCTATTTATTTGCTCACAAACTGCAGTATCTCAGTCAGTGATGGGATTCAACATCGAGTCAAGTCCTTGGAAAACCTTCAGTCTAAACCAAGAAAACCAGTCCTTCGGCTACAAAGTGATACAGAAAGATGAATCAAGGTGAGAGAGACAGCACATCAAAGACGTTTCACCTTCTGCTGTATTCTGATCTTGAATATCTTAGATATGGGATAAAAAGCAGGCTGAGTTGCCATTTTTTGGGATAGTAGGTAAAATGTGAAAAACAGAAAGCAGTGATTTATAAATCTACTTTGACCTGTACTTGAACTAAATCAGTACAAAGACAGGATAATTAATGTTTTATCTTATCAATTTTGTTTTAAATATGCATTCGCTTTGAAACTGATGCTTGCAATGTGAGAAAAAAAGTCAGGACAAGGGCAATTTAAACACTGTGAAATGTTCAAAAACATCTTAAACAGGTGATGCAATCATGCTTGCATGCTTGGGTATAAAAGGGGCATCCAGGAAGGGCCTAGACATTTCAGCAGTTTAAAAATACTGTTCCTCAGTGAGTGATTACAGCTTTGTAATGTCTGTGTGTAAAGAAAAAAGGCTGAAAACCACAACTGAATGCCTGTGACCTTCGACCCCTCAGATCGCACTGCGTGTTTCTGTGATGGAGATCACCACATGAGCACAGGAGTGCTCTGACAAACCGTTGTCAATAAGTCTGTTGCTGCATCAAAAAATGCAAACTAAACTGTACCATGCACCGTGAAAGCCATATATCAACAACATCCAGAAATGCTGACGACTTATCTGGACTCGAGCTCATCTGAAATGGACTGACTGGAATCGAAAACTGAGAAACTTGGAATGTGGAAAACTGACGAGTCAACCGTTCAGATTGTTTATGGAAATAATAAACATTGTGTTCTCCAGGCCAGAGAAAAGAAGGACCACCCAGACTATTACCAGCATAAAGCTCTAAAGCCAGGCTCTGTCATGTTGTAGGGGGTTATAGGGGGTAACATACACGTTTGTTAACAGTGAACACATTTTGAAGCAAAATCTGCTGCCTTCTAGACGCTGTCTTTTTAAGGAAGGTCCACACTTATTTCAACATAACAGCACCAAGAAACATTCTTTCAATTTCTCCTATTGAAAGTGTGTCTTATTAAGCTAAAAATACAACAACAAAGGCCCAATGAGGTTGCACAGCTGAAGACGTATAAAACAGAAGAATGGCAAGATATTACACTTTCAAACTGGATCAATTTGTGTCTTCAGTTCCCAAATAAGTGCTGTCAAAAGGACAGTTGATGTAACACGGTGGTAAACATGATCCTGTCCCAACTTTTTTGGAACGTTTTACAAGCATCAAATTTACAATTAGTGTGTATTTACAAAAAACAACAAAGTCAATAAGGTAAAACATCAAATATTGTGCTGTTTTCAATTGAATACAGGTCAAACTGAATTCACTAATTATTGCTTTCTGTATTAAGTAGTATTTCACAACTGTTTTTGGAACTTTTGTGGTTTGTACATAAAAATTAATTTGGTTTTCATCAGCATATAACACTATAAACATTAGGTAACAAAATCTTTTCTGTCTGTTCTCAGTTTGATTGTGAGTGATCCCTTACTACAACATCAGAATAAAAGAGGTCAAGTTTATAGCTGTGGGATAAACTCAGACTGCTCACCATTACAGATTAATGGTATTTAATCAACGCATTTAGTATTTTCAGACACATTTTCTTTCAAGTAATGTAGAGCATTTATTGTACTTAAATATTTATTGTATGTTAAGATGTTTTTAGAAGGTGCTGCTGCAAGTACTTAATCAAACTGTCCTCTTTCAAAACTGAACACAGAGCCTCCTGAGGCTGTTAACATGTCCCTTGGTCTTTCAATGACTAAAGATCCACGGTCTTCAAAGATAATGGTAAGACTCCAGACTCTCCCAATCCATACATAAAGAAGGATCAGTGACGCTGTATACAAGTACAGTAAATATATATTCTCCTTCTGTACAAATATCAGACGGAGGACCAAGTTATCTTCGAAATTAGATTGAAAACTGTTTGACAGCTTTGGTTAATTTTCTCAATGCTTGGTGAACGATGAACACTGGGCCCCAACCTAACAGGTTTAGTGTGACCTTTTGACCTTTTTTTCCTCCTCAGGTCTGTGGTCCAACCATCCCCAAAGACTGCAAATCAACCACCACCTACAACGGCATGTGTTTTATGATAGAAGGTAGAAATGTTGATACTGTACCGAGGGAATTGAGAGGTAAGTCAAATGGGGATCTACAAACCCAACAAAAGTCCAAAACTTTGTAAAGATCCATTTTTCATTTGTCCTGTTTTGTTCTTCGTTCTCAGATTGCCCGCCTCCCGCACAAACAGATATTGCTTTTCTGTTGGACGGCTCTGGGAGTGTAAATGACTATGACTTTAATAAAATGAAGCACTTTGTTACAACACTGATCCAAGGGTTAATTAGCCGGGATATTCGGGTACGTACAGAAAAGTTTCAAACAGTATTAATGTTTTCCATAAAGGGCCTTTAAGGGCCTCTACACACTACAGACTGTTGCAGGGTGAAAAGCATAGCCAGACAGTGAGTTTCTTTCACAAACTGTGCACTTTTTTTGTACTTCCATACAAATGCTTTCTGGGGACTTGATTAAATGGGTAATTAAACTGTTGATTTGTGCGTGAATTTCGATAAAGCATGCTCACGTGAAAAGTCTTATGCATATGAGCATAAGAGTTTAATATCAACAGGTCCTAGGTCCTTGGAAACAACTGAGTGAAAGACATCTCATTTGGCAAACAGGTTTATTGTCAATTCCTCCTTCCTCGAATGTTAACCTTGAATCTCTTTCTCGCATCCTCAGAGGAAGGAGCTAAGACGCAAGGAAAAGATGCAAATAAAGGAAAATAGTGTAGTGTTTCCCCGCAATTTATTAACAGCTGTAGTCAGCCATAGCTATGACCTACACAACGGGAGTTTGGCTTACAGTTCGCTCTAAGAATAAGCTCTGTAGTCACGTCTGCATTCCTTCACTTCCAGGCCTTGACCCAGTTTTTCCTGTTCTAACATATATATATTCCCACAAAGAAGGCTAGCAACACCTTCACAATAAGAGTTTTTATCAGAATAAACCCAAAGAATAACTGCTGTAGAACTGATAACCTAGAATAAATATGTCCACATTTCTTCAATATGCTACAATAGCTTACCTTTGTACCTGAGTTCCATTTTTACTTCATCGGTCCACACTTGGCTGATCTAGACGTAGTTTTGCATACTTCTGACATTTTCTGAGGAGGTTGCAGGGAATGTTTCCTTCTGATGGATTTTCTGTGCAGGTCATGTTTGTGCAAGCAACACTGCACAGTAGAATGGTGCACCACCACTCGTGTGTCGGCCGAACCTTCCTGCAGGTCCTTAGCTGTCATAGGGAGAGTTTAATTTTGCCTTTCTGGCCAGCATACGAGCAGTTCTATCTGAGAGTTTTTTATTGGTCCTCCAGATATTACCTTCATTTCCATGGCTCCCCTTAAGTGAATTTCCTTAATGACATTTCAGTCAGCTTTGAAATCTTTTTAAGGGTTTTTCCTGTTTTGTTGGCATCAATTAGCTTCATTTTGAGATCCTCAAAGAGACAAAGAGCTGCTTGGAGGAGCACATAGTTGTTGACTGTTAGCACAAGATTTGAAGAGTCAGAAATTATAACACTGGAATTTTCATCAGCCAAGAGTTTCTAATGACAACTCGACCTGCCCAACCATTTCTAATGAGTCGATTAAGGCCTGACGAGTTAATTATGTTCTGAGAATTTACAACTAGAAGAATTTCCAAACTTTAGCACATGCTACAAATACTATTTTATATATTCTATTTTTAACATCATCAGATTTAAAGTAACCATGTTTTATCATTAGCAGAAAAATGAAAAAAAAATTAAAATAGTTCCCACAGGTTGTTTACTTTTTTTAATGTAAAAAATCAACAACATATATTATTTGGCCAGGGGTTCCCAAACTTGTGCATACAATTAGATTATTCATAACATCCCAGAGGGCACAGTTTTCTCTGGGTAATAGAATTAATGGTTAGCATCCTGAGCTACCCAGAGATTTTGTGGCAGTTTAAAAATATGTGGTGGAGCTTCACATGTCTCAGGGGAAGCACATGCTGGCCTTCACCCTCCCAGCTTGTGGCATTGAGTGATAAGGGGAGACTAAACCGGGGGGACTGGTTTAAAAAATGAAAACGACCATCTCTTATTGCACAGATGACACCAGTCAGTCAGTCACACTGGCTCTTTTAAAACATGTTACAAGAATAAATCAGGTTAAGCTTCTTACTAGCATCATGTCCCACATGTGCAGGTCACATTTTGGATGAGAATTTATTGTATACAATTACAGTGTATAGGTTATATGATGGATTGGCCAGAGGTTAAAGACAATTTCTATTGACAAGACAGTTGCTGAATGCTATTAATGTTAGATAAAAAGTAAAGGTGCGCAACATTTTTCTTGTAAAATTTTAAAATGTTTGTCAGAGGTTGATCATCAAACTGAACTCTCATACTGTTACATTATTTTGTGCCATGTTTTGTGTATGTTGTATGCTTGCCTCACTTGCATTGTTCTCTTTTCCTTTCAGTTTGCTGTTGCACAGTATTCTGGTTACTGTACAATCCATGTAGACTTCACTTCCCATTTAAACACCTATGAAATAATGAGTATTCAACAGTTAAGAGGAGGTACCTACACTGGAAGAGCGATCAACAAGCTTGTGTAAGGATTGTTCATGTGTGTGAAAGGCATGAACTCTGCATTTTTATGTTATGGGAAATGACTGAACTAAATTGCCAGAAACTTCAGGACAAATAATGCCAGTTTTTAAACGTTACTGCTACACTGCTGAACTGAGCCTTTGTTTGATTTGTTACACACAGGAATGAACTGTTTGCCAAAACAGCCAGACCAAACGCTAACCGAGTTTTGATTGTTATAACTGATGGTGAATCTAGTCGTCGTGATGATAATCTGTCGGATGCTGCTGAAAATGCAAAACAGAATAACATCATTCGTTATGCTATAGGGGTAAGACATTCTCCTACATTAACAAAGTTTGAGATTCTTGCAACAGACATTCTTGAAAACCCCAAGTCAGATGACATTTTCTTTTGTTCTAAGTTCAACGTAGTTTCATATATAAATATATCGTTTTGTATATAAATACAAACTGAATTACGGCAATTCGAGCTCTGAGCGAAAGAGTTACCCACTAACATCCCCCCCTTACCATGACAGAAACTGATTTTGAACTTTGCGTTGGTAACAATCAAGATAGTCCCGAGTCCATGTAGTTATATTCATTATAGAAGTATTGTCAGTTTTAAATGTCATGCCGTCTGAGGGATCGGAGGTCACATTCAGTATTAGTTTTTGGCCTTGCCCTTTACACACAGAGGAATCTTTTAATGGTATTATGAATGTAGATGGGGAAATCCCTGAAGTCCCTAAATTATTAAGAAACGTTCTTAATAATTTGCTCACACAGTTTTTCACAAAAAAGTTGACTGAGCCTTTTGTAAATGCTCCTTTTATACCCAATCGTCATAGCATTGCCTGTTACCTATTCACCTGTTTACCTGTAGAAAGTTCCAAAAGTTCCAGCACTGCTCCTGTTTCAGCTTTTTTGGAATGTGTTGCAGTCATCAAGTTTAGGATTAGTGTATATTTACAAAAATCAATGAAGTTGATATGGTAAAATATTACATTTGTGCTGTTTTCAGTTAAATACCTGAAAAAGTTTACAGTTCAAAACTTAATTTCAGTTAAATTTTAATTTGATTGTGTTTTAGCTATTTGTTTTCCATTTGTTACTCTTTTTTACTTCATTATCAACTTTTACTTTTTATTTACTGCTGAGTTATTGTTTAACATTTTCTATTCTTTTTTATTTTATTAACTATTCTAAATAAATTCTAGCATTTTATCACTTTTGTCCCACTGTAAGTGGAAAAAAAAAAAAACAGCTTAAGTGAAAAATGGTGACAAATAGTGTGTTCCATTCTGAAGGCTGCTGCCTAACTAGTCCCTGCCTTCAAAGGCAGCTCTCTCTTTGGGCAGCATTTTAGCCGAAAAGGAACCTTAGCAGGCATTGCATTCTGGACAGTGCTTCAGAATCATCATACGACATATGTTTCACTGCGTTGTTCACGTTTCATCTGTTTACCTACAGTTGCTTGTTAGCTTATGCTCACCTCCGACTGTAAAGGTGGATTACCTCAGTGTAAAAGGCTCCCGAATGTTGTGGAAATTTGTGTATGAAGAACAGGTTGCTTTAAGGAGTCGTATCTGTTGTTATATACTTGACTAGGTGCCTAAGATAAATACAGATAACTGTGAATACTATTTTTTTCAATTATTTCAATTCATTCACTACTTTCATCCACCTTAATGGACCTACTTTATTTTGAAGAGCCAGTGCATTACTAACGTTAGCTTCACCTAAAGAGTTACAAACGCAGCCTGTCTGGTCGCGTTCGACAAGTGAACTGTCAAAAACAAACAACAAGAACAGTTTCTAGAGCTCTCCAAACACAAATATATTAAATACTTTACACAAATACTGCAATCAATCAAAATGGTAAAGACAGAAGTCAAGATATAACTTACATTTGTAAACGGTAACACACAACATTGTGGGCAACCCCACAATACTGTTCACCTTCTCACCATCTGAGAGTTCTATCGCTTCAGTCTGATAAACACAGCGGATGAAGCTGCCGTTTCGGCTGAGCGAGGAGTTTACAAGGTAACACTTTTACAATATTGTTTCGTATTTAATAAGTAACTGATCAGGAACTAAGCAGGAACGAATGAGTAGTGCCGCATTAACGCTTAGGTAATTACTCTTTACTACCAAGGACTACTAGTCAACTATTCTCTGGGTAATAGTGAACTGATGATTAGGGTAGTTCACTATTAACTAAACAATAACTACCTGCTGAACTACTAACTGATGTAGTGTACTCCAACACTTCTAACAGTAGTGAAATACACTACACAGTGTGCAGTCTCTACAATATAATGGATTATACCTTCCATTTCTATTCCCAGAAACAGGTATCCTCAGAGAAGGCTGGGGGCATCACACCACACTGTACTGACTGGTGTCCCTCGTATGTTTGTTTTGATCACAAACCTTAAAAGGCTAATGCACATCTTCATATTTGGCAGTCTGAAACAATTTGCACATCAGCCTACAAATGGGACAATTGCTAAAATTCTATAGTATTCAGTAGACCAGTCTGCTTACCTCTCATCTTTAGAAAAGAAAACAACATTCTTTTCTGCACGAGCACATGTGCCAGTGTTGTTTCTTCTGAACAATAGTTCTCCTTTGATGTCCTCTTGAAGACAGGGTCAGTTGAAGAGAGGGCTCATGGAAATATCTGAATGTGTATGTGTCCTGCCTTCAAATTCACTTGGTTCTACATATTACCAAGTGATTATGTAATTGCTATCTGTTAGATAACGACTGAGATGTTGCTGTTCTATATTAGGAGCTAATGATAATCAGGAACAATATAAAGTGAAACAATGGTAACTCATTATTAATGAACTAGGAGTTAATGATGATTAGGAACAGTATTATAAAGTGAAACACATGGTAACTCAATACTAATGAACTAGGAGTTAATGATTATCAGGAACAGTATTATGAAGTGAAACACATGGTAACTAACTATTAATGAACTAGGAGTTAATGATGATCAGCAACAGTATTATAACTTGAACTACATTAGAAATAAAAACGCCTAAAGAAATGTTAGTGCTTTATTAAACCTAAAGCTGCTGCTGATGTTCTCTTATGAGTGCATGCTAGCTGGGTAGTTAATTTAGCTAATGTGAGCTATGCTAATAGGCAGTAAAACTTTGTGCCTCAGATATGAAACAGAAAGATGTGTAATTAATGTACTAGCAGAACATACTGTGATCAGTCTCAGCTCTCAGACTTTCTCCTTCAGTAGTAATGACAAAATTTCATTTCATTTTGTTTGTGTGTATTATTTTCAATGGTATAGTGAGCTAACCCAGGGATGTTTTCACATTTGGACTGCTCACAAATAAAAAAAGGACTTAATAAACAACTTATTTACTCTAACATGTGCTTATAATTCTGAAATAACACAGTAAAACAGACATTGTACAAGAAGACCGTAGCTATTTAGCTCAGATGAGTTAGCAGCTTAGCTAACTGTATATCTACATTAGTGCTGCAGTCTGAATAAAACCTTGAATCTGAATTAAAAGTCTCACATTAGCGGCCCGGGTGTCTGCCATGAGTCTGATTCACTCATCATACATGAGGAAATACAGCGAGTCACAATTAAAATATGAACAGAATTATCAAACTAATCCACTGAGAATGCAGGATTAACTTTTAATCATTCTTTTGATTAAGATTGAGACTGAGACAAGATTTTTCAGAATTTAAAAATTAAAAGAAAGAAGAGAAAAACCACTGAAACCACAAAAAGTTTCCTTGTTATTCATTATGCATCATATATAGATGAATATTATATTTATAACATATTTTGTAAAACTAAACATTAAATAATATATAGGCTGAAAATATTGTGAAATATTATAATATTATAATATTTGTCCAATTCTGTATTATAACTTTGATGGTAGATTATTCCCTGTTCCTTCTTCTCTAAAATCGTATTATATTTACTAAAAAGATTTAAATTTTTAAATGTGACTTGATGTTTAAATGTGATTTCCTCATGTACGATGAGTGAATCAGACTCATGGCAGACCCCCAGGCTGCTAATCTGAGACTTTTGATTAACATTCAAGTTTTCATTTAGATTGCAGCACTAATGTAGAGACACGGTTAGCTGACTTGCTAACTAATCTGAGCTAAGTAGCTACGGTCTTCTTGTACAATGTGTTTTACCATGTTGTTTCAGAATTATAAGCACATGTTAGTGCTTTATTAAACCTAAAGCTGCTGCTGATGTTCTGTTATGAGTGCATGCTAGCTGAGTAGTTAATTTAGCTAATGTGAGCTATGCTACGGCAACTGGAAAAGATTGTAGTAAAAATGCTGAAAATATCCAAACGTAAATAACACCTTGGAGATGACTTTATATAGCAAGAATGATATGGTGTATTAAATAAATATGAACTACTAATTTAGTTATCTAGTGAATTATCTGAATGTGTTGCACATAACTTTGTTTTTGAATTTTGAACACAACAAGCAACTAGTCACGTGACCGTTTCACCGTGTAAAGCCAGCCCACTTTTACATGTGAGACGTTAACCCTCCAAGAATCTTGTGCCAACTTCAGCATCAGCTGTACGTTACACCAGCACCAAAGCACTCGACCAGCCAAACCTTGCCCCCCCGCCTCCAAAACCTGATCAAAGCTGTTGAGAGAGATTGAGACTCAAGGATGAACCTGAAACAAAACAAAAAGATGACCAATCTATGATTAAATGCTATATTTTTGTTTAGTTACGTCATGAAGCATAATGGCTAGGGAATAAAGGTTAACAGTAGTGTAATTTTTCTGCATTTAAAATGAGACTTTTAGTATGTACTGTTAAAAGCTCTGTATTTTTCTTCGTTAGGTGGGTGGGGCCTTTAATAAACAATCTGCAGAGAATGAGCTGAACATCATTGCGTCTGATCCAGACAGTGACTATAAATTTAAAGTGGATAACTTTGATGTGCTGGATAAAATCCGTAAAACCCTGGAGACGAATATAATTGCAATTGAAGGTATGTCAGAAACCTATTTTGGTGGATAAGCTAAGTTTTTTTCTGAGTAAGCTACTGCTGCTATATCAGAATAAGTGTAGAGATTCATTTTGTCAGATTAATGTTATCCATGGTTCAGACACGTACAGTAAACTACAACTTTAAAACGTTTTACCTTTATTTTTCTGGATGTGTGTTGATCTCTAACTGTCACATTTGGTCCTTCTACCTTTTCAGGTACCCAGACTTCAGGAGATTCCACCAGAATGGAGTTTGCGCAGGATGGGTTCAGTGCAGCGTTTATTCCAAATGTAAGGAACGGATATTATTTTGTACATTTAATTTTGTTATGTGGTTTTAGTGAATTTGCACAAATTAGTTAAATTCCTAGAAAAGGCAACACAGTCAGATGCTGCTTTTCTAGGACAGATCCACTTGATACTTACAGAGTCAGGTGGGTCAGACAATGAATTTCTAAAATAATAAAAGTAAAATAAAAGTGAAAAAACTCACAAGATTAGTTAGTAGTTGCACAAAAAAAGTAAATTAACAGAATTTAAATAAATAAATTTATACATATATATCAGTATATATTGTAACGGTTATTGCAATTTTAATCTGATTATAAATATGATTATTACTGCTTAAACTAAAAAGGTCAGGGTAACTTGGATTTAGTTTAAAGTCTATAGACCAATGCAGGGAAGAGACAGACACTCATGCCGAGGATGCTTCAATCAAAAGTAACTTTATTGGCTAAATATGACACTAAAGTTGGATAACTTGGTTAATAAACAAAAGAAAAGAAATAAACAAACAAGGGAATGGCTCAGGCAATGTAACTTATTTCACAGTGTAAAATGGTCTGCAAAGGTGGCTGAGGGCACTCCTTGGGAAAGCTACTCGGGCCAAAGGACAAAGGATCTATAGGGCAACTTAACCTAAATTAGCATATATCTAAAAGAGAATTCTTATCGAATAAAATAGCGTCGAACCTTGACTGCACAAATGAAAGATAGCCAGCCTTACTTTGAAGTTGGGAGACAGAACTGCGAGTCCTCTGAGATGGGTCGCTTGAGGATCGGCTGGAGCTCGCATGCTGGGCGACTTCACACAGGTGACACACTGTAGTGGATGACCGACTTCGGCGTCTCGCCTGCCCGAGGATGAAGCTTGGAACCAGGGCAGTCTTCTGGCGAGGATTCAGTTCGTCGGTCGAGGCGCGGCTCTGGCTGGGCTTCAGAGTCTCTGGGCTTCTTCTTAGGGCTGCTTGAGGATGGAGCTTGGGACCAGGGCAGTCTTCTGGCGAGGATTTGGTTCGGTGGTCGAGGCGTGGCTCCGGCTGGGCTTCAGAGTCTCTGGGCTTCTTCTTAGGGCTGGGGAGTGCAGTCAAATTTCGAGGCTGATGACCTGAATTACTGCCTATCTTCGTCAGAGCTGAAACTTGAAGAAATTCCTTACTTGGCCATGTAAAGAAATCTTCACTTCCTTCTCTAAGGTTGGGTTAAACTTAAAGTTATAAACAAAAGACAAATTACACGAACAACAAAATATCCAGATCTGATCTAAGCGTTCTAAACTTCTTTCTTTCTATCCGCGGTTGGCACAGACTTGGGGAAGTTTCTCCTTGTTCTCTGGAACACGAACTCGAACTAACTGGAACTGGCGTGCGTGCCGGTTTTACTCGGCTGTTGGCCCCTCCCTTCGGGGGTGGAGCGAAGGTGGTGATAGGTTGTGGTAATTAGCTATTCCTAGTTCTCAATTCTGATTGGGGGTGGTTTCTCTGTGAGCTCCTTCCCAGGGAACTCCCTTCTTTGTTCCCTCTATATTTGAAAAGTTTAATTAGAATAAATCAAAACAGTTTCAGATCATTAAGTTCCAAAATCCACACAGACAAACCTAACATTTGTGCGTCAACGTACAGTTTTATCCACATTACCTGAAAACAACTATTGTAAAGGCAGAAATAGTCTTACAGGTAACCCTTTTGATGTCTTTTCATGGCAGGAGATTTACCACAGTAAAATCATCACTTCAAAGAATAAAATCAAGTGAACGAGAATAGTAAAATAGAAGGCTAGATGTAATAAGTGAAAAGAAAACCTAGGTGCATGCCTAGTGTTCTAAAACCACTACTTTAACTGGTTATTTCAGTAACTTTCAGACAGTTATCCTACACATTCCTAACATCTGGTAAAAGAAAGGAGAATACACACTTTAAGTAACTGGGTACACAAATACAAACATCATCTCTTGCAAATTAGATAGGATTGATAGTCAAACATGCATATCAGTGAGTGTTTCTGGGGTCCTTTGTGAGCAACAGTCCTTACGGTGGTGATGTGGTAATTCTTGTTTTCACACCTTGGGGTGCTGTGGGTTCATGTTGAGATCCTCAGCGGATTTAGAAAGTTTTTAATTCTCAGTTCAGATGTCGTAGCAGTCCCGTTCTTGGTATGTCTAGTTTAGTTAAAATGAGTCCTAACGAATGGTTGCAGTTTGAAATGGATGTATACCTTAGAAATGTACTTTCTGTTACTTAAAGATAAGTCCTGTGGACAACTTTTGGAGAGCCATATGCCACATTCCAGAGGGGGGTGCTCTGTTGCCCACTGGGTCAAGAGAGAGAGGGTGCTGGTTCTTGATTCAGTCGTAAATTTGACTAAGTTTGGGGTTGGGAGTGTTATGTCGACAGATTTACACTTTCAACTCCAGACTCGCTGGAGCCAAAAGGCCCTTAGCTTTTGGGTAAACACTCATCTTGAAGTAACGTTTCAGCCAGTGTTCGCTACAATATATATATGTAGCAGTGGTACTAGTAAAGCTGCATGTGTTGTATGACAAATAAGAGTATTGTAGTACTGAGATAACGATATAAAATGCCCATAATAATACTTATAAAGGGTTAATCCCATTAAGTAGACTGATTTGTCCTTTTAATTGTGGAATAAAAACAAAGGCAGCATGTAAAAGGTCTAAAATTTAATAACCCTTCTGTGAAATGTGCAGGTAAGTCATTTTCTCCACAGTAAGATTCCCTTCAACAAGATTTCCCAAAAGGGGGCATTTCTAGCTCTCAAGCAGATGCCTCCACTGAGAGAAAGGAAACCCACACCAGCAGGAGCTTACTCAAGCTCATGCAGTTACAATTACAAAATTAAAGATGCAAGGCAAAATAGTTGGTTATCTAATGGAGACCTCAATGATGGAAATATGGAATTGCACGTAACATGTGGAAGAACATTTTGTAGCATAGGTTGTGTGATCCTTTCCCCGAGCAGATGAATCTGATGACTGAAAGAGAATTCAAGGAGAACTCAGTCTAAACTTGGTGAAAGACCCATCTTGTATGTATGAGGATGTGAGTCAATTATCTACTATTGTCATCATGTATTCATCAGTATAATGTTGATTTTGAGATCATTTGATATCTTAACATAGAGCTGGACCTTCTCTTTGAGCCTGTGCGTGTGACATTAATACGTAAAGACGTACAACGTGGCGTAAAAAACTTTAAATTAAATCAAACAAAGCTTTAAATTTGTTTTATAATGTTAGAACTACCTGATATTACATAATTAGTTATCAAGAGCACTAGGACTTTTTTATGAGTCAATTGTTTGATTAAAATACTATACAGTAATACTGCATATGCACACACACTCAGTACATCTTTTTCATGTGTGCAACTGTGATCTTTCTGTTATGGCACAGGATTCACTTCTCCTAGCATGTGCGACAATATTGTCCTACTGTACAGCCCTATCGAGGGTGCTGTGGAGGCAAATTTTCAACGCAGCGATGTTTGTGTGCCACCATGATATTAAAAATAATTTAAAAATAGAAGGCCTATCTTGGCACAAAGGAAGGCATGTCTTGGCATTAGGCTACCTTAGTTAAACAGTGGTTAGCTTACTGTGGTATGATTCGCTGAACATAATAACAGCACATATTGGTCTATTTGAAGCTTATTTTATACCAGAAGCCATGCAGCAGAACAGAAAAGTGGAAGGCAAGCTACACAAACCAATAAAGCTGCAGTGACACCAAATGAAAATAAAATTTGTGTAGGATGCAGAAATGTAAAAAAGGAATTAATTTCTGGTAGCAGTTATTTTAACATAAGTTCATCTAGTTGAACAGAAGGGTGAACTGTTACATATTTTTTTCTGAAAAAAACAAAATGGAGCTGCTTTTCAGTCACTGTAGTATCACATATCAAAACTGCAAAAATGAATCTAGTTAACTACCTAATGTTAGATATACCTTCCCTCCAAAACCGCATCACATCCGTACCGCCACATTGATCAACACAGGAGTGCACTGCATGCAGTGCGGTAGCTGCTTTTGCTTTAAAATGCACTTTTGCTTGCATAAAAATGCTTCCACAAAATAAAATAAATAAAGGAATCTTTCCTCCAGAAAGAGTCCTCCTCCGACTCATGCCAAAATACCGCTAACCTGAGACAAGACAAAGACCATTAATCTGGTACCTGGAGACCAAGACCAGACTTCAGCATTATTGTATTTAATTTTAATTAAACAACTGGCTCATAAAACAAGCCCTATGGTCAGGTGTAATACTAAGGTATAAACGTGTAAATCTTTTCTCTATTCAGTTGAATCAGTATTTCAGAAAACCTTCTCTTTGTCATGTGTAAGTTTTACTAAGTAAATACTTAAGCGGTTTGATATCATGAGATGCAAGTTCTTCTGGCAGCAGTTTTCCAGAACTTAGTGTACTCTACGAAGCGTCTCTGTGCAACAGCACTCGTTTTTACAACACACATTCCACCCAGGGGGAGCCTGAATTGGTAAACAATAGATACGCACATTCAGATGGTCTTATTTTCTTGGAGTTGTTATCTGTTTTGATGTTTATGTGCTGGAGCTGATGTTTGTTTGTGTGTTTAGGGAAATGTAATATTAAGTGCAGTTGGGGCTTTCCAGTGGAAAGGAGGATTCCAGGAGTATTCAGCTCGAGGGGCTTATGAATTTCAGAAGGGCAATGAACATGACAGTTATGTAGGTAAGAACTCTAAATTACACTAAGTACATTAATCTCTGGGACATTTGAGCTGAAATGAATATTTCACAAAGGGCTTTTCTGACCCATATAAGTCAAACAGTGCTTACCACATACTTGATTAGACGCAGCTACCTTGTAGCTCCACCACTTCTCCCACTTGTGATGCACAGTTTGTGTTGGCCATCCTCCATCTCAGCACATCATATGGAAAAAAAACATAATCGGAAGGATACAGCACTTGGAAAAGAGGCCTTTTACGTCAACAGCATCTGTGAAGGGATTAGAGGATGCTTAATTTTTAGATGGGAATACAGGTTGGAGATGTTTCCATCTCAGACTACCGTCAGAATTTTCGAAGTACTTTATTACGTATATAGTACCCAACCCTAGTAATTCCACAAAAGCAGTCCTGTGGTCAAAAATGCAAGAAGTGGTTTCTAATAAAGAGGATGAAAATGAATCATTACTGTGTTCGCAGGTTATTCCATGACAGTAGCAACAACATGGAGCTTCACATATGTTGTTCTGGGAGCTCCGAGGCATGAGCATAAGGGAGCAGTGTTCATTTCATCAGTGCAGACAAAGACAGTAAATCAGCTGAATTCATCTGAGGTCATTTTTTAAATTAATATTTTATAAAGCTCAACAACACTTGACTAATAAAGTAACAAAGCCAGAAAAAAAGTTATGCAATACCTCATTCGTACTAATAATACTAAAACTTACCTGAATGAAGGCCTACTAACAAATACTTTAAGGTCAGTGTTTCTCAACCCTGGCCCTGGAGTATCCTCTGACTGTCCAACAAAGTTTAGAGTGTCCTGTGCTCCCTAATTAACTGACTAATTAACAAGCCCTTCCTGAGGTTTTCTGGGTGAGTAAGAGCAGGAGAACGTTACAACATGCAGGTCAGTCTTACTCCAGGACCAGGATTGAGAAACGCTGTTCTAGGTGCTAGAAAAAGAATCAGGAATAGTCAAACAGTGCTGTGCAGAGAGATTTGAAACACTTTTTGAGTGGTGCAGTTTTTTAGAATGAAGTTCTGAACCAGTTCTCTTTCTTTCAGCCTCAGATTGGAGCCTATTTCGGAGCTGAAGTGTGTGCGGTGGACCTGAACTCTGACTCCTACGCTGACCTTCTGCTGGTTTCTGCTCCACTGCACACACAGGACGGTCAGGAAGGAAAAGTCTTTGTATTCTCCATGTCAGACAGGGTAAAGAGAAAGGCAAACATGTCTGTTTTCCTCATAAATTGTCCAAAACAGCACTTTCTTCTCCTGCCTTCTTCCCTTGTGATGATTATAATAAGATGTCACTGACTGGTTATGTAGACTTTTCAAAAGGGATTGCATTGATTTTTCAAAAATTCTGCACTATTTAATTGTTGAGATCTAAACACTTTAAACATTTGAAGTTTGAAAAACTTACTGACTTTCTTTACAGTGGTGGTGATAGGAACCAGACATTTTATTTACTGTCCAAAACCACCAGTGAACCTACATGTATCTTCTGAGTGGGAATGTTGATGATGAAAAATAGTGGAAAATCTGAAAAAAGTTTTGTTTTGCCTCACAACACCCTGCATGTACCTCTCCACCATGAATGGATTTAATTAAGGGCAAAAACTTTTCTCAAAACTAACGTAAAACAATGTATCAGACATCAGGCAGTGAATTCATAACCATTTCATGTAGTAACTTTTAGTGGACGTCTGGTTCCTATCACCACCACTGTGAAAGTCTGACTCTATAAGTTTCTCTATTTTACACCAAACCACTCTGACTGATTTTGTTTACATCTGCATTTATTTAAGCATGAATTTTAACTTCATCTGTATTATTTTTACAGCCAGAATTTAAAAAAATTACCCTGAATGGAATGGCAGGACAGAAGGGCAGGTTTGGCTCCTCAGTGGCCAGTCCAGCAGATCTAAATGGGGATAAGATTCGAGATGTAGTGGTAGGAGCTCCATTGGAGGATAATGGACAGGGCAGCATCTACATCTTTAATGGAAGAACAGAGGACATCACACCTACCTACTCACAGGTGAGCAAGAAAGACACTTTGTCATAAAATGAGAGTCTTGAATATTTTAAGACCGTCTTTCGCCTCCATGTGACTAATTCCTGTCTATACTGCCCACTGGGGAACCTGTGACTGTTACATCTCAGCCTAAAGTTCAGGCTATAATTACTAAAACTAAGAAAACAAGAAGAAACCAACCTCTACATTAATTACACTAATTTCTGCTAGCACTCCTTTGGGCCTTCTAATAATATATTCATACTAAGCTAATGTGATGCATATTTGTCTGTTCTAGATTAAACACAAAACTTTTAAAACGTTCCATATTGTTCCATATTCCATATGTCATATTGTTGATGTTGGAAGAAAAACTTGAGTCTCCATTTTTGTTGTTTTCCCTTACATGATTTGAAAATGTAAGTTGAAGAAGTAAAGGAAGTAAACACAGCATATTCTGTAAATTGGTTTAGAAAATAACATTATTCTGTAATTAATTGTTAATGCAAATATGAATTAACTTAAAATAGAAAAAAATACATTGTAAAAGTTTGAACACCCTTCCAGGTTCAGTCTCAGAACTTGACCTGTTGGGTCTGGTTAGGCAGGTCGAGATTTGTCATTAGGAACTGTCAGTTGATGAGAGCGTAATAAATTCTCTGACTCTTCAAACTTTGTGCCAACTCTCAACGACCATGGGCTCCACTAACCAGCTGACTGAGGATCTAAAATATTAGAAAATATAAGCTAATTAATGCCTACAAAGCAGGAGGATATAAAAAGTGCTTCCAGCTCAGAGTTTCCACAGTCCAAAATGTCATTAAGGAATGACAGTCAAGGGGAACCATGGAAGTCAAGGCAGGATGTGGAAGGCCAAGAAAACAATAACAGGAAATATAACAGCAAAGGACCTGCAGGAAGGTTTAGCTGACACAGGCGTGGTGATGCTTGGTGATCTGAAGTATGCGAGACAACATCTAGCTCTAGAAACAAGTGCTCCGGTATGTTTGGAGAAAAAAAAGGAGCAGTATTTGACGAAAAGAACACCTTGCCAGCTCTAAAGCATAAGGGTGGATTTAATATGTTGTGGGCTTGTGTGGCAGCCAGCGGCACAAAAAACATTGCATAAGTAGATGGAAGAATGGATTCCACTAAATGTCAGCAAAAACTGGAAGCAATTGTGAGACAGTCAGCCAAGAAACTGAGGCTTTCTACAACGAGACAATTATCCAAATCCACCATGAACTGCTTCAAGAAACGTAAGCTCCTGACTGGAAATCTCTAAAAAATCTTATATGGTGAATTAAAACTGTTTCTGGATTAAACATTGCTATGTTTAGGGTTAGTATGAACTGCTGTCATGATTTTGTGACTAAATTTTACAGAAGTTAAGTGTTATCACATGCTAGTTGGTCGAGCTCGACTCACCCCAAAACAGTTTAAAGTTCATTAAATATAAAGTAGCATTTGTAGGGAAAAATATTTTTAAATAATTAGCTGCAGAGGGTGTTGTAATTCCTTTCACTTCAAAAATCTACAAAATATATAATGTGGCCAGGGGTGCCTAAACTTATGTGTAAATGTAAGTGCAGCTCAAGTGCAAAGGGAATGGTTGAATAAAAGTTGGCTTAACGTCAGACTCGTATCTGACAGTCTCTGACTTATATGTGTCTGTTTGTGTGATGACAGAGAATCAGTGGTTCCTCAGTACAGACGGGTCTGCGGTTCTTCGGCCTGTCTCTGAGTGAGTCTGCTCTGGACCACAGTGGAGACCGTTTGACGGACATCGCTGTTGGATCCAAAGGAAGAGTCATTCTCCTCAGGTTCAGTCAAATATGATCAGTAACAGGTGGAGCTCATCTACACTCATGTGTTCATTTTAATACCCTTTAATACCCTCATACTTCCCTATAAATCAGTTTATAACACAGTTCCTACTTACCTCTCCAGAAACTCTGCTCTCTGCATTCTGCTGCCCAGGATTTTGGGTTATTATTATTATCAATATTATTACCATTGTTATTATTATTATTTTACTATTATTATTATTATGGATCATATATTCAGTTTCATATTCTTTTGGACACTTTTTATGAGGTATGTATGTGCATCTTTAGACATCTATTCAGAAATATCATGCCTAAATATGAGAATAAGTAAACATAAGCCCACCCTAAAACCCCGCCCTGGCCATATAAGATAGAATTAAAAAAATAGGTCACATAGCATCATTTAAATCTGATCAAATCTGTAAAAATGTAAGACCTTTGATTTCAAAGAGATGTTGCTGTTAATATAGTAGTGTTGTACAACAGCTGGTTTAAATGAATGTTAATGATGTTACATGAAAAATTCTTTTAGTAAAGTAAATTTTTTTTTGAGCAGTGACAAATCTAAGGGAGGGCCTGGCTTCCTACCCCCCCCCAGTAGACCACCCCCCTCCCCCAACCATGGCTACGCCCCTGATGAAGACATGAAAAATGTTTGAAAGTGACCGTAGAAGTGCAGTCCATTAGTCGAAATTGAGATTCCTAGATTTGGAGTAAAGTAGACTGATTGTATGATTTATAGGACTTTATAAGTCCTGAACTTTTTAATTTCACAATTTATTTTACATGAACATTTGTGAAACAGATCTGTTTGTGTAACCAGTCCTTGCATGAGGCCCACTGTATTTCAAAGAACATTTATATTCTCATGCATGTTTATGTTAATGTATATGTTTGTGATACTCAGGTCCAGACCCATTGTGTCCTTGGTGACCAAAGTAACCTATAGTCCATCAAAAATCCCCACCAGACCCACTGACTGTGCAAATCCTCTCATAAACACTCTACGCTTGTGCTTCACTATGAGCGGACTCAACACTCAGATAAGAGGTCTGTACATCTAACTTAATTGCTTTTCATAGAAAAGTAGTTGCTTCACTTCCAAATAAGAGCTGTGACTTGTTGGAAATTTGATGTAGCAGGTGATCTGTGATCTGTTCTCTTCTGTTCAGACTTGGCTGCAAATATTAACTACACTTTAAAACTTGATGCGAAGCGACAGAACTCTCGGGCGTACTTTTCACCTAAAAACCGCCTTCTAACTGCTAAGATGACTGTTCACCTACAGGAGGTGTGCAACAACCACAAGTTCAATATAGAAGTGAGTGAATAGTTTTGTATATTGTGACTAGGCAGGTGTTTATAAAATTATTATTTTTTTTTTATTTATTGACCATTGCTATCAGGCCCTGTGGTCAACAAAATTGTTCCAATATGAATATAAGCAAGCTAACACTGCTGTGCACTGAACGGAACATCATAAAACAGGCAAGTACACAAAAATACCCCAAACAAACCAGCAGGCTTTGTCCAGTGTGGCAGTTAAGTTGCTTTGGCAGTAGTAGAGTACATTAGGATAGCTGGTTTTCTTATATAAAAGGGTTGAAGATTAATAGTAGACTTACTTCCATGCGACATCAGTTCAGTGCTCAGGAGTGTTAGTTTACTATTAGAATGGATGTAGCATTGTTTGTATTTCAACTCCTTAACAACCTTGTAATTTGGATCCAGTGACATTCAGTGGGAAAATGGACGTAGGACAAAACATATCGGGTTTGGAACGTTTTTGTGTAACACAGGGTGAGATACACACACTGATGGGATCTGTGCTGTACGTGAGATCTGAATTTTGAAAATTAGCCATACAAAACAACTTGAAAATAGATTATTTGGCTCCAAACTGAGTGACTAACACTGAACTCTAGGAAGCAAATGTTGGCAGTCACATCCTAAAGTCATTCCCTTCAAGGTGGGCCGACCAGACTGTGTTATTAAAGTAGAAATGCTGGTATGTAAGCAGATACTATAGTAAGCAGGTCAGGTCTTGGTTTTTGAGGCACCCATCTCCATCCTCCAGCTGTAAATCCTACAAACCTGTGTCCTTTTCCAGCTTTTAGACGTATAAGTGAATGAGAATGCGTTATTGATTAGTAGAGATGAGCATCTTTTTAAGCGTCTTGTGTGTCAGCTCATATTTGTAGTACAGTCCAGAGGGAAAGGAAGTCATGAATGACTCAGTAGCTCCTAAAGATGAATGTAATACTCAAACAAATAAAGAATAATTATGCTGCATGTATTTTATTGTTGAAGAATTTACCTCATTTTGATTTCTCCTATATTAACAGTGTAAGATCAGCAGTGTTACATAACATTTATTGGTCATTCCCTTTTTTGGTTAGCTTTACCTGGGTGCTGATAATTCTCAATCACCATAATTCGTCATACTAATTAAATTCATTAATTTAATGAAGTTTCTGTTTACCACATGTTGAAATAACTTTTTATATGTCATCCAGCTCTGATCAAGGGAAACTCACTACATTAAAAAAAGGTAAAAGGCACACAGAGGTTCAGTGAAAAGCTCAGTGTGCACAAAAAATCTGTTTTTTCTTTGCTTTTTTGTCTCACGCAGGCCTGCGCAGAGGACGCTCTAAACCCGCTGTCCAACGAGTTAACATTTACTTTTGAGGGCCTCCCTCTTAGAAGACAGGACAACTTAACGCCTGTACTTCACCCTGACATAAGACACACCTCAGACCACAAAGTAAGAGCTGATGGTTTACAGTAAGCCTTTCATCTTCAACAGAAATATACATCTGCTGCTATTAAAGATGTTATATAAGGAAAAAACAGATGATACAAAACAAACTCAGCTGCATTCACTTTTCACGCTTCAGATATAGTTTATGAACATCTAAATGAAATCAAATGAAGAATTTTACCTGATAACCTGTGTAGAATAATGCATGTTAGACGTAGCATTGGCACGTGGCTTTATTAACTATATCAACTATATAATTACACAGCTGGATTTTGAAATAGACTGTGGACCCGACAACATCTGCATCGACAACCTCAAAGTGGATTTCAACTTCTCTGGGTAAGACATTAGCGACAAACCCATTAACATGACAGTAATTATGATGAAGTCACTCCATTCCTCTATACTGTATTACAAAAACACGGATAGTATTTTTAAAAAGTACAGAACTGTGCAAAAGTCAAACAAAGCCATTAAGTACTAGTTATTAATTTTTCAGGAGAAATTTATGAGGAAGTTTAAGGAAAATAAGTTGAAAAAAAGGAGTTTTTGAAACTGCAGTTTAAAATATTATTAGAGAAAATAGGACTCCTAACAACTGTGGAAGACCTGGTAGACCCCAAAACTGTCAGATAAACAGCACTTAAAGATTTTATCTTTGAGAGAGGAGAGAAATCAAGCTCCACTCTCTAAGACTGAACTGAAAAATACTAAAAAATGATATTATTTAGTCATCGAGGCTGTTAAATACAGGTTCTCTACTTGTACTTAATGATCGTTTGACTGGAAATGAAATAAATGAAGGGGGGTCTCTTACCTTCGCTCAGTACTGAACTTCTTACATACTTCATTCGTATTTGTTTCAGACACTCAGACATAAAAGTTGGAATAATGCAGGATATGAATGTGACAGTCTTTGTGGAGAACAGAGGAGAAAACTCCTACAACAGTCACGTCAAGCTCACGTACCCCTTTGGACTTTCCTTCAGGAGAGTCACCAGCAGACAGGTAAGACCAGTGCTGTGAAATGTGAGATCTGTTATCGAGAAAGGAAGGAAACACTGTAGTTAACAATGTGGTTTTGAGCAGAAGAAAGAAATCGGTTGCCATGAGTGAGTGGAGAGCAAGTTTGCTCATCTGTTTAGTCTTGATTGGTCTCAAAGTTGACTGATACAGACTGATACAAACTGATATGAGTTTGAGTGTTAAAAATTGCAGGAATGTATTTTTTAGTTAACAGAAATCATTAGGGCTCCTCTGAAGGCCCTGAGGGTTCTTCACTGACCTGTACACTACCAGACTGGGCTACTACTCTATATGAGCAGATCACAGAGACCTTTTAAGTATGTTTTCTACCTTATCAGGGCAGAGTGGAGTGCGTATCTGTGGACAGTGATCAGAAAGGTACACTTGGGACGACCACCTGCTACATCAGTAAACCCATCCTCAGGGAGAATTCTTTGGTGAGTCACAACATCATTGTTTATTTGGACAGACTCATCAACGGTTGCACAGTTAGCTCATTAGTTTAATAAAAATAGTTGAATATAAATGTTCAGTGTAAGATTAGAGGTTTTAGGTCACATTTGATTTAGTCTGAGTAAAGAAAAGGTTGAGGGAAGCTGAACATTGACTACAGTTACAAACAATGTTGTCTCTGCAGGTGGTTTTAGGGATATGCATGCTGCTAATGTTTCTATGCTCTTATTCTAGGCTGTGTTTGAGATCACATACAGCATAAACAAAGAAAGTAACTTTGACAGGATGGTGAGTTTCACTGCGACTGCTGACAGGTATGACCTGATATTATACTGACACACATATCAACTGTATCTATGTCTAAAAATGAGAACTTTTAATCACTGATTGTGACTTTCTTCTTGGAGAAGAGTCAAATATTTAGAACATTCATACATTGAAATACTTGTGGTGAAGCTCAGATCATTCACTCTACAACTGTACAACATCAGAAAGCAAAACAAGGAAAAAGAGAGTTTACAGGCAAAAATACCAGTTATTGAATATGAGTTAATATTCAGTGTCAAATGATAGGATGAAACTTGATTCAACATGAAGCCACAAAAATGTTTAATGGAGAGTTTTTTTTAGGCTGTGGCTGTGAGAGGGAGAGGATAGGAGAGAGGGAGAGAGGGAGGGATAGAAAAAGAAACAAACTCCAGGCCATATCTTATAGCTGGCCATAGCTGTACAGTGTCACATCCAATAAGGAAAAACCCCTACAAAATAGGATGACCACTGCTGCAGGGGGTTGGTGGCTCGAAGAGAGAAAGAAATCTCAAAACAATTACCAACAAAAGAGAGAAGGTGCTTCTACCAGCTACGGCTGAGATGCAAAAAAAATGAAGTATTTGTCAAGAAAAGAGGTGCTTTATACTGAATTCCACTCTAGACTGTAACAAAAGGAGGGCATCCAGTTAAAAACATGTTCAAGGCCTTCACAGGACAAAATAAGTGAACTCTCAAGAAACCATATAAAGAACACAAATAATAAAACATGATCTCTTTTTTCTTTCACATGATTTTCCCCTCTAATTTAACCTCTTTCTGCAGTGCCACCTAGTGGCTATTCAAACACAATACAAACCAATTATGTCGTTCTTGCATTAAAACTCTTTCTCTGGTTTCACAAAGACATTTTGTGATGAGATGGAACTCTGTTACATAACCCTTTATTAATAGTAGAAACAAGCTGAGTGGTCAGAAAACGAAGGGGAGAGTTAATTAAAAGTTACACATATATTTTCATTGAAAGTGTCCGAACATATAGATGCAGTCGAACGTCTATGGAGATACAATATGATTAAACCTTTCCACATGTGCTCTAAACAAACCCTGTCTATTTACTGACTCACTCTTCTCAAACCTTGCAGTTCCAATGATAAACATGCAGCTGACAGCAAACTGTCCAAAAATGACACCATTGGTGTGAAGTACGCCATCTACGTCGCTCTAATAAGGTCAGTTCTCCCTGTTTACCCTCCTGTGTTCTTACTGCTGTTAGTTTTCTACTAACTCAGTCATCACCAGCTCCCAGTACAGTAGAGCTGTTTAGCCCCGTGTGACTGAGCTGTGGTGTCTCTGTCTGGTTGAAAGTCTCTCTGTAGCACCATTTAGTCCTCTCGATATCAGCTCAGTGACTGTTAATAACCTCCTTTTACTGATTTTGTCAAGGCACGAGAATTCCAGCATCCACATTAACTTCACTGCAGGGAAGAACAACCTCGAGAAACCTGTCAATCAAATATTCAAGGTATGAGGAACAAAGAACTGTGGAAGCCCATTCTCACCATGTGGAGGAGGGTTTTTCTGGCAGCAGTATGTCAAAATATTGAATTAGCATCTCAAAATTATGACTTACTTTCTTAAAATATTGAGTTTGTCTTTTGAAATAAGGACTTACTTTCTCAGAATATTGATTTATTATCTCAAAATAATGATTTAGATACTAAGTATTGACTTAGTATCTCAAAATAATTACTTTCTCAAAATATTGACTTACTTTCTTAATGTATTGACAAAGTAATTTAAAATATCGACGTACTTTCTTAACGTAGTATCTCAAAATAATTACTCACTTTTTTAACATATGGGCTAATCATCTCAGAATAATGACTTCCTTTCTTAACGTATTCACATTTCAAAATAATGACTTACTCTCTCAAAATATTGACTTATTATCTCAAAATAATGACTGATTTTCTTGAAATATAAACTTCATATCTCAAAATGATGACTTATTTTCTCAAAATATTCATGAAATATCAATAGCGTGAAATAATTACGAATTTTTCCCAGAATCTTGATTTATTCTCTTGAAAATAATATCGTAAAAGAATGACTGACTGATTTTGAATATATGGAATATATATGGGATTTAGAAACCTTTTAAGAAAGTAGGATAACAGATCTTTATTATTAAGGTATTAAATCATTATATTTACATGGTACATTTTTATTTTGACATAATAAGGTAACATGTCATTATTCTCAGCTACTCAATATTTAGAAAAAAAAAATGTATGAGATACTAAGTCAATATTTTGACATACTGCTGCTGAAAAACAGGAGAAAAATAGGGGGTTACTTAAAGAACGCTTGGGCAGCACATAAAAGAAAGGTATGGATATTCTTGTTCTCTATCGTTCTGTCAGGTGGAGAATGACCTGAGGGATGTAAACCTCACGATTCTCATCAGAGTACCAATAAAACTCGGAGAGAAGGACATCTGGGCCACTAAGAACTTTCAGGTACAGTAGCATTATTAACAAAGTCACACGGGGCAGATTGACTGATATGTGGTGGTCTTAACTAGATCTCTGTCTTATAAGTTACGTTAGTTTTTAAATTGAACAAATGTCTGTCTCTTTAATTAAAGCCCCTCGTCTCAATACTGTGTCATTTACTGTGTAAGACAGTAAGACTTGTGATTTCTGGCACAAGCTATTCGTAAATATTAGAGTTTGCTTTATAAATATGTTATTCCGTGCATTTGCGTGTGTTTACAGTCCCATTGTAGGCAGTGTTAAAGTGTTACCCTTTAGTTTAAGGGCCAGTTTTGTCAGTACAGTGTAACGGTCTGGGTCTATACCAAACAATGTCATTTACCTTGTAAAAGTGAAATACTGACAGACGCTGTTCATAAACTGCTCTATGCCCTGTGCTGTGTTTTTAGATTCCAGACTGTAGCATAGACAGAGACGAGAAACCCACAATCCCTGATTTTGTGGAGGCACTAAAGAAACATCAGTCGGTGGTGAGTAACTGTTACACCTTTAGGCATCAGTATTCTTACCAGTCAATTGTGTAATAAAGGCTTTGCAAATTCAATATTATAAACAGTTCCTTTATTGTGTGTGGAGTAATGTAACCAGTGGGAACTCTCTCTGTTGGGTGCAGAACTGCTCTGTGGCTGTGTGCAGACTGTTCAGGTGTAGTGCAAATCTCATGAAACGTGACCTGAAATTCTACAATATCTCTGCTAATGTCAGCTCTGGCTGGATTGAACAGGTACATTAACCTGAAAGCACCATAGACACATCTGTCTTTCTATCCCTATACATAAATATGCAAAAGCTTGGAGGCGCCCTGGTCAGATTATATTGCATTTTTACATTTTGTTGATTTTCTAAGTGCAAACAAGTTAACACATCTCTATTAATATCTTTTGTTGTATCCTCTCTTAGACTGGACTCCGATCAGCAGTTTTTGAGCTGGTCAGTACAGCAACTCTGGAATACGACAGAAATAAATACATCTACTATTCTTCAGACTCTTTGCACACGGCACCCGTTAGAGAGGTAAATGATGAGTGTCTATTTTTAAACATTGTGCATCTATACAGGCATTACTCTATATTTCAGTGTGAGAAATACCTACCAGTAGTGCTGCTAACTCCCTCACCATTCTTCTTTAGTAAATGCTCTTTTCTAGTTTGGTAACGAGCTCATCCTCACATTACTGAGATCCTCCTCATCTCCTCTTCTGTCTTCAGCTTTAGAAATGAGTAACAATTCACTCTTTCCACCAAACTCTTGGGAAATTGGGTGAATTTTCAAATTTACAAATATGCTACGGTAACTATAAAGTTTTCAGAGTTCTCCTGGGCTGAGTTACAGGCACTAGGCCATGAGGGACCACCTTAGTAAACCAGTTTACTACAGCGCCACCCTGTGGGTGAAGCAACTAAACAATGACCTTTCCCTCAGTTTGCATTTCAGGGGTCCAAGAGGTTATTTAGGGGCTCCTGGACCCCCTGTTGTTTTTGTTGGGCTTCACTTCTACAGTCAGTGTGTTTTACAAATGTTTGTTAACAATCACTTAATGATGTTTCTTGTATTTTGATCACAGCCTGAGCTGGAGAAATGTTTTACAACAAACAGGCTTTGTACTTGAAACTGTAAAGAGAGATTATTTGCCTGAATTCAACAAGCAGCTCCTCTGTGTCTGTGACCCGCTGCTCACGTGGTGGACTGTTTGCACGTCTCTTCACCTTTCTTCTCTTCTGGCTCTCTCATTGGCTGATGCCTAAATCACTCATTCAGTTTTGTTGCTGACCATCTCGCACTACGGGACTCATGAAGGTTTAAAACATTTTTGAAAGTATTGGTCCTCTGATCACTCCACACTCCAGATCTCGATCAGAAAGATAAAGAGTGACTCATTTCCACTCTCACACTGCCAGATCATCCACACCATCAGTTGCCTCCAATCAATCATGACCTCAAAAAATGCTTCAGACTGTTGGAAGGGGCGAATCAGGGTTAAAATCTGGCCAAAAAACATGTAGTGTAGGCTCAGTTTTACTGTGGATGGATTTAAACCTATAGAACCAATCAGATTTAGGGCAGATTTTTATCAATGGCTAATTTCCACAGCCACAGAAGCCAAAGTCTCATTAGTTGTACCCAACTACCATAAAGCAAATTAGCTTAAAAGGAAATGTCTGCATAATTCAGTCACTGAGATTCATTTATAGTGGTTTGGTGTAAAATGGTTGATTGTAGAGTTTCAGATGTCTTTACAGTGGTGGTGATAGGAACCAGGGGTCGCCATGACTACAACACAGATATAGACATTTTATTTACTATCCAAAACCACCATCTCCTGAGTTTTCATGTTCATGGTGGTAAAATTGTGGAAAACCTGAAATAATACGTTTTTTTGGGGGACTATTTTGCCTCACAACATCCTGCATGTATCCCTCCACTATGAGTGAATTAGATAGAAGCATTTCACACCAAACCACTCTGAATGAGTCTGTTTACGTCTCAACCATTTCACATCTTAATCATTTAATTATTGAAAAAATTGTAAAAATTGCTGGAGTTTCCTTTTAACCATGGTGTTCTACCAGTGAAGCTGGGCTTTGGAGAGGAGCTCACAGAGCTGTTGTTTCTCCTTTCTCTGCTGTCACTGGGTGTCTGAGTTGCAGAGCTTAGAGTGCAAATAAAGAAACCCTATGGAACCAAGCGTCTCATCGGCAATCCATTCTGAGAACTGGTTTAAATCTACTGCCAGGGGAATTATGGCGCGTTCATATCCACGCTGACCACAATGAAACATATTAGCATGTAGAATTGTAGTTTTCTGTGATCTACCCTGTTTTCTCTCACTGCATAAAAGATGAACGAGGCTTTCTTTACCATTGGATACACTGTGAAAACTCAGGCTTATTATTGTTTTATCACACTAAAAATGATAGAAATTTTTGATATATTTCTATTGATGTTTTTACTTCTTTAAAAATGTCATTTCTGACAAACTGAATACAAATCTATTCATTTTAATTGTTAGATCACATTTATTACATATCAAAATAAATGCAGCAACAGTGCTGAGAAATTGCACCATTAACAGAGAGGAGCAGATTAAACATCAAGTTGTTTAAATGTTTTAAACAACTTCTATAAATCATAACCACTGAGCCACATTGCTATCTTTTAGCAACTGTAATGCTGTTTGTATGATAACACTCACCACTGCAGTTACCCTAGTCACTCTCTGTTGAACATAAACTGGAATCTCACAAAGGAGATAAATCCGACTTCTGCCAGAAAACAAAAGCTTAGAAAATGTTGTTTAGCTGTTGTGTTTAGCTTTTAACTCTATTTGAAATCATTTTAGGGTCTTTTTTATTAAATCTGACTTTGGTAAGTCACAAATCTTTAGGGTCATTTAGATGCATTTGTAATCCAGTCGACGGCCGCTTTCAATCTGAGCACATTACAGTTTGAATTCATTTGCCAAAGAACGATTTGCTTTACGGTCAGTTTATACTGTGTGCATCTGTGTGTGTACAGATTAATACCCAGGTGGAGGTGTATGAGGAGAAGAACATGCTTAAGGAGATTATTGGAGGAGTGATAGGAGGGCTGCTGCTTTTGGCTCTCATCACTGCTGGCCTCTACAAGGTCAGTGCAGTTATTGTTTTCACTCTCTACTCCCACCTCATTACTTTCAGCACTGGAAGGCTCTGCTGCTCTCTACATTACGGTTCTTCTCTCATTATCACCTCTAGGCCGGCTTCTTTAAGAGCCAGTATAAGCAGATGTTGGAGGACGCAGGAGCTGGGCCTGAGGGGGCCGGAGAGGGGGCGCAGGCGCCTGGAGGAGAATAAACCCTGCGGAGTGACCGCTGTGATTCTGATACACAGTTACTCACCTATATTTGCCAGTTTAAATCTAACTTTACTGTGTACCATAAACTTCATACTGATCTTTATTCCGTGTGTCTGTAAATATCCAGTCTTAAACTGGTTTTCTGTAGAAAATATGTTCAACCCCTTAAAATCCCAGCATTATTTCATACCAAGGGCTATTATTCAGTAACTACATGGACTGCAATGCATTTAAGGGGTTAATGTACACCATTAAACGTTTGTGGAGGCCTAGTTTTCAAAATGTTTGCAATAAATAACAGTATTTTCTGGTTTTCAGTGTCTTAAAGGGCTCATATCTTACATTTGTCTTGTTTTTTGAGGTCCACAGTCTTAGCTAATTTTTTCATGACCATTTTCCAGCCTAAACAGGCTGTTTTTTGTTACGGTGCCTACTAATATATGTAAATGACCACTGTTCTGATTAGCTACCTCATTCAAAAAGCAGTCCAGACTGAAACATTCCCTATAACAGTGTGAATGGGTGGAGTGAAACTGCTGTAAGCTGAATAGGTGGAATTAATTTAACGTTGGTTTTTGGAACATCACACAAACAATTCATTCAAAATGCTTTTGCAGCTCATGTTCCACATCTGGACTGTATGAATGGTACATTTTTGAAACTTTAACAATGTTTACATACAACATCAAACTCTTCTGTTTAAAAAAGTGAGTACATGTTGATTTTCCATGATATGGGCCCTTTAACATTTTAATGTATTAAAATCCAACCAGGTTTATTTACAGAGAAACTGTATTGTGATTGTAAATATTAGTGACAGTGATAGTTTAGGAATAATTTGATGCCGTTGTTGTGATGTCAGCACTCATCTGTACTCAGACTTTCCAGGTGTTTAAACCACCTTTAGACCAAGAGTTTCAACACGTGCCTTTAAATGTGAAGTACTGTAGAGTTTGATGAGCAGAGTCTATATTAAGGCTACAGACTGTGGTGATGTTTAGGGCTTTAACACCAACATACTTCAATTATTAGTGCAACGTATCTGAGCACTTTCTGAGAACAACAGCTGATGTTGCACTACACCCTGCAAACCCCACATTACTGTTATTAATTTTTCAAATTCCAGTCAAAATGGCTATAAAGTACAAGTTATTCATTTTTCAGCAGTGAGTCACTCCTTCTCTTTATTTCAGCTTCCTCTCTTTTCAGGAGACTCACTTTCATTTCCTCAAAGAATCTGCAGACACACCTCCAAAGTTCAGTCTTAGAAGCTGGTTGATCATTTTCTGAAGTAATCAAACCCATTCAGTGGTGTTGAGGTCTGGACTCTGGGGTGGTCAGTCCATTGTTCAGCTTCTTTGTTTGATGTGTCCGTCTCCTTTTCTCAGTGAGGTTCTTCTTGATCAGCTACACATCCTTTTAGACCCACAGCGCTGAGTCGTCTTCTCACAGTGGAAGGATGGAGAGAAACACCTGTGGATGTTTTCAGATCTGAAGCAGCTTGATTTTCTCCTCTCTCTCAGAGATGAAAGCTTTAAGTGCTGTTTATATGATGGAGGCAGTTTTGGGGTCTACCAGCTCTTCCAGGTGGTTGTTAGGAGCCACATTCTGTAGCTTTCAATCAGTTTTTGAACTCTCCTTTCTCATGCAAGTTGATTATCTTGTATCTATTTTTTACAGTACAAAAACTGGTACTTAATGGTCGTTTTGACTGGAAATTCAATAAGGGACTTTTGCACAGAACTGTATGTTTTGATTGCTTACAAATTCTTAAGGTAGCTGTGGACATGAGATTGTGTGCATCATACAGGCCTGTTAAATATAGAATAAAATAGAATAACTTTACTGTCATTATACAAAATATACAATGAAACTAAGCGTGCTACTCCTAAATAAAAATATGTATTTGTTTTTGCTGTTTGTGAGAGACCAGTTAATGTATACGTTAATAAAAACCTTCCTACAAGAGGAACCATTAAATTTATTTGTGTGTTTGTAGTCCTGAATGTACATTTTTACACTTGACTTGCTTTGGAGGCTGTGTGTCAAATAAACAGCATTACTGTGATACAGGTGAATAGCTGAACAGCACAACTTTACAATATTGTCATAAAATGACAAAAACAACATCCAAACTGAATTTTAAAGGAAGTGGAGAGATACAGAGGAACGACCTCAACACAAAACACAATAAGGAAGCAAAAGAAACACCTATAATAGCAAATAAAGGTAAATAAAAATGATTAACATTAGTTTACTAATGATTATTTATATGCACGTCACACATCTTTGTGTTAATGCTTTTCTGTTGAATATGTTTTCTAAGCCTGCGATGGACTGGCGACCTGTCCAGGGTGTATCCTGCCTTCCGCCCAATGACAGCTGGGATAGCACCCCACCGCGACCCAGAAGGATAAGCGGTTTAGATGATGTATGTATGTATGTATGTATGTATGTATGTTTTCTAAGTGATATCTAATATTACCACTTTTAAAAATTAGGGTGCACTTTAAAAGTATGAACTGACCCAAAATAGAACACAGAGAATGATAGTTCTAGTTCCTTTGTTCCTAGTTCCTACCTAGTTGAGAGACAGCTGGAACTGCCATTAATGTAAGTAATTTTAATTTAGTGTAAGTAATGTTAAGTAATTTTATGCTACTCTGAAGCATCTATTTTGGCTAAGTTAACCTGTTACTAGCTAGTTACAGTTAGCTTGACTTATTAGTAATATTAAATAATATACTGCACTGTTTTGAGCTCCCATACTTACACAAATGTCCATAATTGCACAGAATCACATGTAGAATCAAACAAAGCTTGTATTCAGTGCTGGTGAGGGTGAACAAAACACCAGTTCTGTGGATGCTAGCATACATGCTAATAGAGTTAGTGTTAGCATCCCACTAGCTTAGTTTAGCAAACCCTTTACAAACTAATAATTCAAACTACAAGAGGAAAGTTCATAAAGTTGGCTTGTCAAAGCTGTTGCTATGAAATCCCAGGTGGTTGCTAAATTGTTGCTATATTATCCCAGGTGGTTGCTAAGATGTTGCTAGGCCATTTCTATGGATGAGCTTTGGATTGTTAGTATGGAAACATCTTAGCAGTCACCTGAGATAGCAACATTAAAATATTTCAGACAAACCTGTGTATGAGTGTAACTACCTAAATGTGTGTGAGGAAGAGACGGACTGTGTGTGTCTCTATGCATTTTGTTCCATTATCAGCGCAGGAAATGTCAGAAAACAGTGCAAATACTGCCAGATATTTGAACCACCTCAGTGAACAAGGGGTGCCAGTGTAAACAAACTGAAACATCTAAGTGATTATAAGTGATTATTTTACAATCAATCCAAAAACTGAAAGTGAAAGTTAACTTTAGGGCTGTTAACTGCCGTGTCCAGGATTGTTTCCTGATTAATAAACCCCGCTGGGATTCTATAGCAGGTCAGGTCAGGCTGTGCTAAAGATTTAAAGACCATCTTTCCTTCTGCCGGAAATAACAGCGAGTATGCTCTCTTGCACGAACATCTAGCTGTCTACGCTTTTTCTGTTCACCCCTCATGTTACAATGTTAATTCATGGCCTCAATTGATCCAAGTTGAAGAAAGGAGGTCGTCTGCAGCAGGGGAGCCAGTTTGAAGTGTGAATGCTCTAAGGGTTCTCCTCTGGCATTTCTCTACCTAGACTTTAATGAAGTGTGTTCAGTTCTGCATGTCTTGTATAAGCTCTGTTTCTGCTATTTTTCTTAAAGAATCATGTGCTGTCCCACTTCTGACACCAGTGTTGGCAACGGTGTAGAATAAGACATGGGAAATATAGTATGCTTCAAAGGTGAATGTTGTTTTATTGAACAGGCAGCAAAGGAGAAGCACTGCTGAAATGACCAAAATAGCAAGCAGGTCACCTCTAGCCACACATCTTCACTCTATGGTAGGCACTAAAACTGACACTACTACCCCACAGCACAACAAAGTAAAGCAAGAGCAACACACCAGCACCTCATTGAGTTAACAATGACAACTTATTTACAAGGAATGTATCTCCTATCATAGGCGCAACACTTCCCAGGAGCTTCTTTGCATGGCTGATTTGTATGCCACGCCTCCCATGCCTCTACAACAGCGCATGTCAGCGGTATGCTATAATATATAGTACCAACAAATATATAGATAGATAGATAGATAGATAGATAAAGAATGGCAATGACAACTAGAAAAAATACATGAAGATAATAAAAAGTCTGCAAATATGTAAACTGCTATGAAGTGATTGCTTAGAAATCACTTAATAGTGAAAACAATACGGTGTATCAAAAAATGAGCTGCTAATTTGGCTATTGAACATAATGTGTTTAACTTTTTGTTTATGCATTGCTTGTGTAGGTGTCAAGTTGCATGGTAATTATGTTGATGGCAACTTGCAACTAGTTGCATGAAAATTTCACCATGTAAAGCCAGCTTGAAGGTAACAGTATATAACATATGGAGCACATAAAGTGACGTCGTGATTATTTTGGAATAAGGTGTGGCCACAAAAAGCATGCTTTGGTTCCCATGATGTTTTGCTCATGCTTAGTTCTCAAAACAGGTTTTTGGTTGCATTTTGAAGTTTGTGACGTTAATGTGAGGTTACGTCAACTTTAGAGTGGCTCAGTTGGGCTAACTGCAGTGTTAACTGTCGTGTCCAGTATTGTTTCCTGATTAATAAACCCTGCTGGGATTCTGTAGCAGGTCAGGTCAGGCTGTGCTAAAGATTTAAAGACCATCTTTCCTTCCTCCAGAAATAACAGCGATTATCCTCTCTTGCACAAACATCTAGCTGTCTACACTTCTTCTGTTCACCCCTCATGTTACAATATTAATTCATAGCCTTCTTAAAAGACACTTGCCTGTGCTGAGTTCATTCCATATGGAAAAAAATATATATGAACATGTATGTACTTGAAATACTTGAAATAATCTATGCCAAAATACATTTCAAACACTAAAAAGTATTTCAGAAATCCGATAAAGAGGCTGGATTCGAGCTCATTAATTTTCACTGCAGGTAAACCCTCACTCTGATTTCTTTCAGGAAGCAGTGTTTAAAACAGCACCCGCAACAAAACACTTTTGGAGCGACGCTGAAACCGGCTACATGCCTGACATGCCTGTGCTTCATTTTCTAGATGATGTATATTCATATTTTCTGGTAAAGTGACTCGATGTTTAAAAAAGCCTGCATGACGTTTGAGTTTTATGTTATGTTTACGTCACGTCTTATTCTGTGAAATCTGATTACTTTCTGACTCATGTAGACCCGGAGTTTCCCCATTATCTGATTACTCAAGAGCATGAAAACACGCTGAACCAGTTACTGACACAGTCTGATTTTCAGCAGTTATCGGATTATTAAGTGCAGGTAAACACACTCAGTGTCTGTAAGAGCTGCTTAAATATGACTTTCTACAGGGAGCTCTCAGTCCGCGCTCACGCTCTGATCTCCCTCCTCTGAGTGGAGCCTGTAAACATCCAGAGCAGAAGGAGGAGCAGGAGGAGAACTTCTCTCCCTCAGAGAGGTGGAAACTCGCGTCTCATCCGGAGAAGGAGGGGAAAACGCTCAGTTTCAGCGATATTTGCATGTTTTAATCACAAACTGTGTGTATGAAGTAAAAATCCAGATAAAAGGCCTTTCTGGAGCCGGTTTGGACGGTTTGGCAGATGCTAACGGGCTAACAGGCACGTAAGTTACTGCAGTGTTCAGAGTTAATCTTTAACTTCAAATACTGAATTATTCACTCTGAATCTGGTTTGTGTGTGGAGTGGAAAACTTTAAATTTGGTTGAGGGTGAGGGTGTTTATGGGTAAAGAAGGCTACTAATAAAGTAAAAATTCCACAGTAAGCACTGCTATATAACTCTTATATAACTGTTATATCGCTGCTGTCAGGACAAAACGTTGTATCTCCATTTTGTTCCTTTTTCATTTTCTGACATAATTTGAAATTGCCTGTTGTCCTTTACATTGTGTGTAAATTTTATGATGAATGAACCAAAAGAAACAGTCCAGAATTACTTGGAAAAAATTCTGGTTCCACTGACTTACATTAACAGTAAAGTAGGTTTTTTCCTTCTCCTGTAAAGCTATGATTTTGGAGATACGAGGTTTTGTTACAGTGTAACTGGGTCTACAATTCTACAATATCTCTGCTAATGTCAGCTCTGGCTGGATTGAACAGGTACATTAACCTGAAAGCACCATAGACACATCTGTCTTTCTATCCCTATACATAAATATGCAAAATCTTGGAGGCGCCCTGGTCAGATTATATTGCATTTTTACATTTTGTTGATTTTCTAAGTGCAAACAAGTTAACACATCTCTATTAATATCTTTTGTTGTATCCTCTCTTAGACTGGACTCCGATCAGCAGTTTTTGAGCTGGTCAGTACAGCAACTCTGGAATACGACAGAAATAAATACATCTACTATTCTTCAGACTCTTTGCACACGGCACCCGTTAGAGAGGTAGATGAACTGAGCGTCTATTTTTAAACATAACTGTTGTGTATTTGTGCATGCATTACTCTATATATGTGCAAAATACCTGCCGGCATTTGAGGGGGGCGGCTGGGGGGTCCCGCGTTGGTGGGCTGCTCTTTCAATTCTTTTTATTTTCAATTCTTAATCCTCTTCCTCACATTACTGAGATCTTCCTCATCTCCTCTTCTGTCTTCAGCTTTAGAAATGAGTAATAATTCACTCTTTCCACCAAACTCTTGGATAATTGGGTGAATTTTACAAACATGCTACAGTAACTACAAAGTTTTCAGAGTTCTCCTGGGCTGAGTTGCAGGTACTAGGCCATGAGGGACCAACTGGGTAAACCAGTTTACTACAACGCCACCCTGAGGCAGAGCAGTGCTGCCTCTTTAATTAATTAAGAACACCAAAGACAGAAGCTCACAGATTGTGGGTGAAGCAACTAAACAATGC